ATGAAATATTGCCAGGACAAAGAAAGATGGACTTCAACTCTGAATTGTCTCTCATTTCAAAATGCCCAAATCAAAACCAAATCATATCAGAAGAAGAGAATCTTGGAAGAATTCTAGAGGAAATATTTAGAAATAGAGAATCTGGACAGGAGAAAACACCTGCTGTGTTAGGTTCAGTAAAGGACATTTTAAAGAAGGCATATCAAAGGGTAATGGAAGACATAGACCATGGGTCTCCATCTGGTGAACTCTCCCACTGTACAACTGATTCTAAAATTAAAACAACAGCAGTACGAAAAAAACCCTTGCTGTCACAAATAAGCAGAGTCGCAAATGACATTGTTGAATGTGTTTATGGAAAAATGTTCTCAATAGTTGTGACAACCTTGTATGAAAATAAGGACAGCAAAAGAGAATTGGAAATACCTGGCAGTGATGAATCACCAATGAAGCCATCATGCTTTAGGGGATTGAAACAAGCAGAAAAAAGAAGTCCTCCCCCTGAATGTGTAACATCACAAGTTTATTCTTTCACAGACTTCAAAAGTGTCATTTTGTTGGAAACCACACTATTGGAACTTTCTCCACTACATGTAGGCAATGAGTTGGTCCAAATGATTCTCCAAAAGATCACAAATTTTGTTTGGCTAAATCTAGATGAAAGTTCATCCCCTAGCCATCAGTCTGATGAAACACCACCTCAAAGGCCATGCAGTTCTAAAGCTGGTCCTAAGGGCAGCCCTGGACCAGGTATTAGAAAAAATTTTAAAACAAAATCAAAAGCTATCTCTGTGTCTAAATTTGGGACCAAACCACTGTCCAGACCTAGTGGTGGTAAGGCAAAAAGCAAGACCAAGTCAAGTTCTACAGAGAAGCTTCCACGAGGCAGCCAGTCTAAGTTAGCCACTGGGCCACAACACCCAGTCTCAACAGAAGATGCCCAAAATTCATTAGTGAAAACAAAACTTCCCCCTGAAGAACTAAAAATGCATGCCATCAATATAGTTTGTACAATTCTGGAAACAATTGTGAATGAATTTCAAAAGGTGAAGCAAAATAGAGCAACAATAAATACAAAAGCTTTACCCCTCAATCGACTCATGACAGCAAGTGAAATAGTCAATAATATTCTGGAAGGATTATATGCAACCAAGAACAATTTGGTGAATCCAACAAAAGGCTCACAGCCAGATAAATTCAAACTTTCACAGAAGAATTTAACTACAATTTCTCTTTCAAACCCAGAAGCACGTTTTTCTTTGGAAAATGTTTCTTCACAGCTAGAAAAAATTTTTCCTAAAGAAGTTATTTTTAAACAAATGTTTGATATATGGCAAACAGAATCAAGCGACATGAAAAATGAAAAATGTAACCTGTTGGTGGTAGCTGAGACTGTTTTGAATGAAATTCTAATAAAAGCAAAAGAATTAGAGCAGTCCATTTCACTTTTAAATTTGGCACCTCTTGAGACTTGTGAAAGCAGGTACCATAATTTTAGAAGAGCCTCTGCAGGAACTGAGGATTTCCAAAAACAAATTAATATATTTAGCCATGAAATTGTTGAAATATTATTTGAAAAATTAAAGTTGTGTTTCTTGAATCAGGTACTCACAACAGAAAGTAAAGAAATTCAAGTAAGCAAAAGACAAACTCTAGTAAGAACTAACAATAGCAATGATGCATCAATCTATAACACAGAATTAAAAGACAAAATTTATTTGGGATCCTGCCACAAAATTGCTCAAGAGATCATTGAAGGAGTTCTAAATATCTTAGAGTCATTTGCAGACTTACAGTTTAAGCATGTCTCTACATATGCTTTTTCTGAAATTGTGAAAATGCCTATTGAAAACTTCCTTGCTGGTCAACAGAAACCATCAATGAAAAAACTGTTGCCAAAATTACAACCACTAAGTAAGTTTCCTCATGACTCTAAGTCAAATACTATGATTTCTCAGGAAAATATACAGGATACCCTTCGGCAGTTATATTCATTCCATTCAGAATTGCTTACTTATGCTGTTAATACTGTGAATGACATGCTGGGAATAATTAAGAACAAGACAGACAAAGAAAAACAGCAAGTGGAACCATCTTCGATTCATGCACTTGAAGAAAATACTGTGACAAGTCAGATTATCAGCACTTTGATGGAGCAGTGTACCCATTTCTATGAATCATTGATCAAAAATCATCCCAAAGAACATCTACTCCGAGGAACTGAAAATGCTTACACTGTTAATTGGGCCAAATCCTCAAATGGTGTGGAAATGCTCACCTCAACACCAAATGGACTTAGCCCAAGGGATAATCCTTCACAGACATCTGGCTTGGTGTTTTATTCAGAGGAAGATAGAAGAAAGGGCAGAGCTTCCTCAAAGTCCCCTATGTATGTGAGATATTCTGCAGGAGACATAAATAAAACTACAGATGCAATGAAAAAGATTGAAAGAGAAGTTAAACCATCATGTTCTAGAAGTGAAGCACAAGACCTCAGACATTTTAATCAATCCATAAAAGGAAACACCCATTTCCTTAAAGACAGTGTCTTGCCAAAACTATCTCAGAAATCTGGTGTCCCCGAACAATCAGCACTGGAACACACCTTGTGCTTCACAAAAATGGAAGAAGGTGAAAATCAAAGAATGCTTTACTCAAATAAAATACAGACAACTGTTTCTTCACTCAAAATAGGTTTAGCTGCAGAAAATATTGTCAATAGCATACTGTTGAGTTATGACCTTCCAGGATCACTCACTCACACTAATGAAAATATGGAAACAATGAAGTCATTTTTGGTATCAAAGGAGAAGGCTTCATTTGTTATATCTAAAGAACAAAAGGATGAGAAGAAAAGTTTGCTGAAAATTTGGAGAGAAAGGATTGGCTATAAAACTGAAAAGGAAAACAAAAGCCTTGAAACAAGCAGAAACTTCACTTTACTGGACAAGTGGAAAAATAAGTCTCCAAGTTTAGAAGAAATCACAGCTTTCAAAGAGGTTCAAGTCGTTGCCTTTACAGACCAAGAACTGGGACCTAATGAAATCCATCTAATAGCAAGATATATTACTACATCTGTGATCACACATTTTAAGAAGTTTGAAGCCACAGGTGAGTAAGATACGAACTATAAAAAGTTGGCATAATTTTAGAAAACAAAATCAATGATCATTTTAAGAATTCAGAATTTTAACTTTTAAAAATTAATAATTTCTTACTACCCTCACCTCTGAGAAGCTGCATTCACTGTTTCTCTTTAATAGTCTTGCATTTGAGGCAGCTCTTTATCTACTTGTTCTTCATCTGGACAGTATGCTAAAAGAAAATACATTATGCATTCACATAATTGTCATTTGGAGAGCTGTTGTTCAGTTTTACCCATCTACAGATGTGATTAAATTGACATAATTTAAAGCAGGAGATTATGGTTGGACATGAGGGATGTCTATGAAATGATGAGACAAGTTTCTTTGTGTGGTACATACAACTGCTCTAGAGGCAATTCCTAAAATATAAATACATAAATAACTTTTTGAAAAAGTTCTAAGGGGTTTTTTTAAGTTCCTTTAAAAAAAAGTCTGATTACAATAATGTATAGTAATAACTCATGTACAAATAATTGGGGACAAAGTAATCATCCAATTTTTTTGAGGTGCATAGTTGTCATTACCTTTATTCTTGACAGAGTTTAAGACCAGTGGCATTAAACTTCTGGTTCTGCTCGTTTTCCAGTGCCTATCTTAAGTTCTTTTTAGGCATGATACTTTAAACCCATGCTTGCAAAAATGGTATTTGCACTCCCTTTCTGCATTTTACATGCACATACTGGATTGAGGTTTATAAACTAGCCACATTTGTTTTTCAAAAACCTTTGAATATCAGTTTTCATTTAGTTCGATTCAACATATGTTAAATTGGATAATTAATTGCCTAGCCCAAACATTTTTCAAGAATTGTGTTGTCAGAGCAGGGAGGAAGAGCAGGAGGAAAAGATTAACCTTAAACAGAGACATGAGGTGGGAGGGAAAGGGAGAGAAAAGGGAAATTGCATGGAAATGAAAGGAGACCCTCAATGTTATACAAAATTACATATAAGAGGTTGTGAGGGGAATGGGAAAAAACAAAGAGAGAAATGAATTACAGTAGATGGGGTAGAGAGAGAAGATGGGAGGGGAGGGGAGGGGGATAGTAGAGGATAGGAAAGGTAGCAGAATACAACAGTTACTAATATGGCATTATGTAAAAATGTGGATGTGTAAGCGATGTGATTCTGCAATCTGTATTTGGAGTAAAAATGGGAGTTCATAACCCACTTGAATCTAATGTATGAAATATGATATGTCAAGAGCTTTGTAATGTTTTGAACAACCAATAAAAAAATAAAAAAATTAAAAAAATAAACTATAAAAAAAAGAATTGTGTTGTCTCTAAAGATAATTGGAATCTAGACAGGTGAAGTGGCACATGCCTATAATCCCAGTGGCTTGGGAGGCCTGAGGCAGGAGGATCATGAGTTCAAAGCCAGCCTCAGCAAAAGCAAGATGCTAAGCAACTCAGTGAGACCCTCTCTCTACATAAAATACAAAATTGGCTGGGGATGTGGCTCAGTGGCCAAGTGCCCCTGAGTTCAAATCCAAAAACAAACAAACAAATCACTAGAGTCTAACTAAGGCATATCAACACTAAAGCTAGAAATCATTTCTCTGCCTCTGGATTTCCAGCTTCCTTAAAGCAATATAGTTATTCAAGGAAGAAACCAGCACTTAGAGATTTGAACTCTGCTGGGCTCTCTTCTTAACTTCCTAGCTGAAGTAAGGATTCCACAGATGGGAAAAAGAGATTTGAAAAAACAAAACAGTTTTTTTTTCTGGACTAGGTTTTTCTATTTCTTAAGTGAGGTGAAATTCATATATAAAATATTGCCAGTGCTTTTAATGGTCCATATTTTGCTTGTTAAAAATAGCAATCAATGTTTTTTTTTTTCTTTTAAGGTCCTCAGGATGAAAAAGTATCTAATGCTTCCACACTGTTAAGGAAAAAATATGAATCAAAACAACCTCTAAGGAGCATAAACAGTGATTTTTCACTTAATGAATTTTGTGAGCATCTCACAAAATTGGTTATTTCATATATACTTTCAAGAATTTCTGATTGCAACCAAGACAGTGAAACAAGACAGAAATCCCTAGAAAGCCAAAATGCATCTCTTAACAAGATTATTTTAATTCATTCCCAACTATTTGAAAGTCGGTCAATATCTATCAGAAAACTTGCCTTAAACATTTCTGAAATCATTATTCAAATCCTTCTTAAGAGTGATATTTTAAAGGTAGACATTAGGCAACAAATGGTTTCTCGAAAAATCAAATATATTTACTGCCCAAGAGTAGATGTAACAGACTTCAAGAATGTCTTTCAGAATCTCTTAATAGGAGTGATTCATGTTCTGTCCAAAGATATGGGAATAAATGAGCAGTCTGACAGCAAAGGAAGAAATAAGTCATTGTCCACGCTTACAAGCTGTAGTGAGACCATTCATAACAAAACCAGAAGTATGAAAAGACAGATAGGCCCCAGAGATTGGAAATCAGTTCTTATTCCTCGAATGGACCAACTCATACAGAAAAGTAAGCTGAATTCTCTGGCATGTAAATTAGGCACCCTGATTGGTAGCCTAAAAACTCGTGAATCCAAAATAGTAGTCAATAAAATTTTTAATATTGTTTTAGATTTGTTTTTATCAGACAAATGTCCAAATTGGGATATGGATTCTGGTCAAATAGCAATGACAATGTACCCATCTCTAAGTAATCAGCAAAGTCATAGCACACCCAGAGAAAACCTAATGCTCTCTCCCAAATCTGCTTTTCTTCTAAATGTTGTATGTGAAAAACTTATTACAATACTGTTGGAAGAATGTGCACCTAACAACTCTTTTAAAAGTGACCCTCTTTCTGATGAAATATCAGCTGAATGTCAACTGTTCAACATACTTCAGAATGTACGCTCACCATTTGAAGGATATGACATGTCAAACCTTTTGGAAAATCTGGAAGAAATAGATCAAGAATCCATGGTTAGTATCATTTCCCATAATTTGGTAAAATCCTTAATGGAAAAACTGTCACACAATGTACAGCAACCTCTGAGAAGTCCAATCTTTGCAAAAAAACATTTAACATATGAGACAAGAGAGACATTTTCCAGTTTTCCAAAAACAAAAAGGCCAGGATTAAATGAATCAAGGCAGGGTAAAGGCTCTGCAAAGGTCAAAAGTGATGACAACAAGCCTTTAATAGGGGCATTCAATAATGTCAGGGAGATTTTTCCCAAAATACAAGCCCCTTTTAGTAGGCATATTCCAAGAAAATCCTCTTGTCTACCTCCTCTTCGAAGACCAGGAAAAAAGGCAATGAATGTAATAGGAGTTTATTCTGCCACATTTTTGGAAGAAATAATTTCAGGAATTTTTCTTAGCTTCTATACCTCATTGTGGGCCAAAAATGTAAATATCACTGAGATCCAGCTCAATGAGATGAATGCATTAGGGGTGAACTCCGTGGTGAATAAGTTTAATAATGCTCAAGTCACTGTTCTACGGGATGTTGAAGAAAAGATCTATTTTCCATCAGTCTCTAAAGAAATTGTGAGTAAGATTGTTGATTCAGTTTATAATGATGTTTTATGGGAATATGAATTGCAAGTGGCCTGTGGTGATAATCTGACCCATGCTATTACATCAATAGCAGAACAGATAACAAATGGCATACTGATAGAGATTTTAGACTACCAACTCCCACTGTACCTTCTAGAAAATCTCACACCTAATTCATACTGCCCTCTCAAAGCAGAAAACATACTGCAAAAACTTCAAAATAACCTGAAAGAACTTAATTACCAAGTTCAACATTCACCAGGTTATACTACCATGCTATCACACTCATTTTTAGAAGATGTCATTAGAAAGCTATTATTTCAACTCCTTCCTCTATCCAGCAAGGCTTCACGCTTGGGGAATAATCTAATGACTTCAGATTTTGATGAAATATCCACTTGTATAATAAATAAAGTTATGCTGTCCATTTCAAAGCATAAGATTTGGCTCACTAAATATGATTGTCAAAATTTATATATGGAAAGTAACCTCCAAAATATGGTGGATTCTATTTATGGTAATATTATGCAGATGTATGATTCTCTTGTGTCAATACAGAAAATCATAGCAAGCCAAAGCCCAATTCTGGTTGACCAAATGGCTAGTCTTATTATTCAAGAGATCATTGAAAATCATCTTCAGCCCTTTTTGTGTGGAGATGCCTTACCTCATTTGAAGACCCCATTGGATGAAATATCTAATATGGTTAAAGAGGTTCTCAGTGAAGTCACACAACCACAAAGACACTGCAAGACTCCATCATCACTAGGTATGAGTTTTTATCCTAATGCATTTGTAGAAGAAGTTGTTGGCAGGCTTTTATCAAGAATCTTCAACCCAAACTATAACACTGAGACTGAACTGGATAAAATGACCCAAAAATTGGTAAACTCAATTAATAAACATTTTAGCAAAGCTAAAATCTATATTCTTCGTGATGATCAAAAACACTCTTTTCCTACTATAGATACAGACACTGTGGATGAACTTGTCAATTCAGTCTATAAGAATGTTCTGAAACAATATGGGCTGGATCCTGAAACTGTTAATAAACAACTCAAAGACAGTGAACTTTTTGCAGAACATCTTACCAATTTAATTGTGGAAGATATTTCTGGATATCTTTTCCATCCACTGTTTTCTGGGGATTTGTCAGCATCTTCCTATGCTACTTTAACAGTACAGAATGTTATTCAGAACATCTTTAGTGGGATCAGTAAATCTACAAAGCCAACCCAGCGTTTATCTCCATATAACACCATGCTACCATACACATTTCTAGAAGACCTAATCAAAGTACTACTATCTAGAATTTTTCCTCCTTCTTTGTGCATGCTTTCATCTGCAGAAACTCCAGAAGACAGATCACAAATTAATGTCAATGAATTCTCTTCAAAACTAATCAATGACATTAAGGGAAAAATTTCCCAACATGAAATTCGATTTTCAAAAGATAGAGATACTGACTCTGTTTATTCAGATGATGACGCTCAGCATCTCATTGATTCAGTATTCAGAAATATTTTGCAAAACTCTGGGTCTCAAGAAGAAATTGAGCACAATATCACAAGTAGTAATGAGGTTCTTATTGATAGAATAGCAGGTTTTATCATTAAAAATATCTGCCAACAACATCTTCATCCATTTGTGTATAAAAATCTATCATCTCCTTCAACATGTACATATGTCAATGATGCAAGAAGGCAACAGAGGTTTTCCAATGCTTACCCCTCCGTCTTTTTGGAAGATGTGATCTGTGGGGTTTTAAGAAAAATATTCCATAGAGTGTTAGGCATTGTGCAAACAAAATCAGTTACAAATTCAGAAAATGAACTTTTGGAAACATCTGAAGAACTCATATATTTGATAACAGAAGAGTTCTCAAAAGCCCAAGTTATCATCCTAGAAAATGTTCAGGAACAATTATGTCTGCCAACAGTAGATAGAGATGTAATCCTTAAAATTACTGACACAGTGTATAGCAAAGTTTTACAAGAATATGAATTAGAACCATCACCTGATAAGGATTTTCTCAGTGACACAATGAAATTGTCTGAGAGGATAACTAAAATTATCCTGGATGAAGTTGTTGATTTCCAAATTCATCCAGATCTTGTGGCAAAGCTTCCTTTTAAATCATATTCAAGACTCAATATTGATGTTTTGATAAAAAGAGTTCATGACAATATTACTAAATCAAGATTGCAAAGACAGACTTCTACAACATACACCACCATATTATCACACACACATTTGGAAAAAATAGTCACCAAGGTTTTATCTCAGATAAGTCCACTGGACTTCAGTGCAGAAGATCCAGAACTCTTGCAGTTGGACTTAAGTAACACAATTATGGGATTGACTGACAAAATCATGTCAATAATTTCTAAACATGCAATATGCATCACTAAACATGGATGTGAAAAACAACATATAGTTTCAGAAAAAGATATTCAGGCTATGGTAGATGCCATTTATACTGATATTTCTCATTCAAATCTGTACCACTCCCTTACAAAAGACAAAAAAGACATAAGTAACATGCCTGTTACAAAAATAGCAAGTTATATAATAAAAGAAATATTTAACCATCACCTTCAGTCATTTTTACCAGAAGATAAAACTCTCCCTCCAGGCACTCTTGATCAAACTTATAAACACGAAGCAAGAGATTCTAAAAAAAGAGAACTGTCTTTCATTATAAATTCAGCTGCCTTTTTGGAGGAAGTAATTTCTGAGGTTTTATGCAAAATCCTTTATGTATTCTCACATAGTCTCTTGGCAACAGCCAACATTACTGATATTGCTACAGCGTTAGTAAGATCGATTGTGTCAGAGTTCAATGCATCGGAGATTTTAGTTGTAGATAACTTGGATGAAAATCTGTATCTTTCAGAAGAATATAAAGAAATGGTTCAAAAAACTGTTAACCTAATTTATGAGAAAATATTAGATGAATATAAATCTCTAATTCATGTCTATAGTGCCATAAAAAGTGATGTCACCAATTTTGGAAGGCAGATATATTGTTTGCTATTAGGAGAAATTTATGATTATCAGGTGGAAGCATTAATTTCAGGAGAATTTGCAATGTCATCTTACACCTCTCTGCAAGAGGAGAACATCATCAGAAATGTGCTCAGTATCATCAATGATGATGGCCATATCTTACCATCATGCATCACTGTTTTGCCTCGTGCCCTTTTAGAAGATATGATTTACAAGCTGCTAGCATATATATTCCCTTCATCTGTGACTGAAACTGAACTAAAAGAGGAAGAAGTGTCACCAGATTATGATTTTGTGGGTGCAGCTTCAAAATTGACTGATGAAATCATAACAGAAATTTCTGAACATCAGATTAGACTTGCCACTGCAGAAGAGTATGCAGAAAGTATACAATTAGATGTAATTGAGGACTTTGTTGACTCCATATGTAACAATATGAAAAAAATTAAATTTCAAGCTGACACACAGAAAGATGTATGCCAAAGGGGAGGATCATTCCTTGAGAAAATAGCTGGTTTCATTATGAAGGAAATTGTAGACCACCATCTCCGGCCATTTTTATATGATGAAGAATCATCTTCAAATAACTTACCTGAAAATAACTACGCCATTGAACTCTCAAATTCTGTTAAGGAAAAAACCTCGTCCTTACCACAGGAGACTTCTGTGTATTCTGCTTCATTTTTGGAAGATGTTATAATTGACCTTGTTCACAAGTTTTCTACTCTCCAAAGTATTTCTAAAAATCCTAAGGACAAAGAAATGTCAGAAGACCAACTTGTAGGCATGGCTATAAATTTTGCAAATATCCTGATAGGGGAATTTAAGAAAAGTGAAGTTAAAGTTCTAGAGAATGCCGAAGAAACATTTTCTTGTCCACCAATAGATAAAGAGATAGTTGATAAAGTATCTGATTCTGTGTATGAACAAGTCATGGAACTATACAGGCCTAACAATGTTCAGAAAGATGATAGCAGTAAAATTGTTGCAGAGATGATTGCTGCTTTAGCTAAGAATGCAATCTCTGCTTTTAAAATTCAACCACTTTTTTGGGGAGACTGGTCTTCCACCATCTTTTCATTTCTGGATGTGGATAACATCATCCAAAAAGTTCAATGCCTGCCATATAAATCCTTTACAAAGATAAACAGAAGCTTAAAGGAGAACCCAATTTATTCACCAGAACAACCATCTACCTCAGGCCTGAAAAACAAAATGGACACTTCAAAGATATATACAGGAACATGTATTGTAAAAGAGGATTTCATAAAGGAAGACACATCAATGAAAAAAGGCAGCATCCATGAGCCAATATGTACTGCTATAACTAGTATAATGAAGAACAAAGTAACCACCATAGAATCAGAGTTAGATGGAGGTGTGGCATATAAAAATAAAAGGGGTAAAAAGGAAAGTTCCAGTAGAGAAGATGAGAAAGGGCATGATGATGAGATATACCAACATTTTTCACCTGCTACCATTGACAAGAAAAATAAGAATGTTCTACTGGAACTAGATTTTAAAATAGATGATAAAAAGAATAATGAAGAAAGAGAAGGTACATTCAAAAAAGAGGATGTATCTTTTGAATTATTATCTCGGAAGTCCAAGGTGAAAGAGAAGAGGAGACATTCTCCAGCTTACAAAGTTATAGATGACAAACCAATCTTCCATCCTAAACAAGTTCAAAAAAATATCACTGAAAGTATTTACAGCAACATTATAGAAACATCTTCTTTTCAAGGACCAATCGATGATTCAACATTCCAAAGCTGCCTAGATGATAAAGAAGCACATGTAACTCAAGAGGCTGGTAGGGATTTGGTACAGCCTGTGTCAACAAATTCAGCTAGCCAAGATGCTCCAGCCACCAAGGAAAGGAATGAGAAATGTAAAGATGAAGAGACTAAAAGTAAACTGAGTAAACCAGTCGATTCTCTGGACCTACCAGGAAAAAATCCTGGGATTTTGCCTGCCAACTTTTTAGAAGATGTTATCTTTGAAATAGTTAATAAGTTGATATTTCATTCCTCACCAGGCACAGATGATGCATGTAAAAATATAACCAGTGATATAAATAAAGATGAGCTCCATGTTACAGCTATGAAACTGATTGATTCCCTATTAAAGGAGTTTTCAGATGCTCAAATTAAAATACTAAACCCAGATCAGGGAAATCAGTCCATCCCAACTGCAGATAAAGTTCCATCAGTTCATAAAGTATCTCTTAGGCAGAAAGAAACATCTGTGGCTAAAGGACCATCAGAGATAAAAATGATAATTATGGACAAAATACCATTCACACATAGAATACCACCTGTAACTCACATGCCTTTTTCAGATAGGAAAACTTTAATGGCTCAAACACCATCAATTGATAAAATGCTTGTCAATAAAGTTGTTCATTCCTCTATATGCAATGTTTTGCAGGAATATAGATCTCAAGAATGCATTTGTAAGGACATAAATAGAAACAGTGAAATTGTAGCAAAAAGGTTAGCCAATGCAGTAATAGAAGAACTACTTCAGCATCAGGTAAACATGCTACTTTGCAACCAGGTTCCAGCTTCAGTATGTTTGCCTTTAGAATCAAAGGAGTTTGTGAGAAGGATTCAAAAAGTGTCCCAAAAAGCCTACAAAGAATGCCAGACATCTTGTCCATATACCATAATGCTACCTTATGAATTTTTAGAAAGTGTAACTTCTTCTCTCCTTTCGAAAATTTTCTTGAACACTAAAGCAGGAGAATCTGATTATTCATCCACAGAACTAAATTTCCTTCAAATGAAGTTAGTAAATACAATTATGACAGAGATCTCCAAAGATGAACATATGATTGTACAGTATGTAGAATCCTTACATCCTAATGATGATGAAATTGTTCAATTAGTGGTTCAGACTATTTATAATAATCTCTTGTCTCAATTTGTGTCTCAAGAGAGCATACAAAATTGTTTCACCAGTGGATGCAGAATGCTTTCAGAAACTATAGTTAATTTAGTTGTGCAAGAAATGGCTGGCAATCAGTTGCAAAACTATTTTTCTCGAGAGCTAACTCCACAACAGTGTACAGAAGTTGACAATGTTGTTGAAAATATCCTTAAATCTGTTATCCAAACTACTGAATTTCCTCAGCTTCCACAACTGTTGGCTTATGAATTGCCTTTTAACATAATAGAAGAAATCGCTGTAAAATTTTTATCAAAGATTTTATCTGTGTTTCCAAATGTGGATAGTGAGCCAGAAAATTATATGAATGATGAAGTGCAAAATATAACTTCAAAAATATTAAACTCATTCCAAGAATATATGTCTAAAAGTCAGATTAAAGTTGTACCACAGGCCAACGAAGCACATACTATATCTTTAGCAGACAGTGCAACTATTGAAAAAGTAGTTACTTCTGTTTATAATACTGTTTTAAAGCAATCTGGTTCACATGTTGCAATGTATAAAGACTTAATGGGTAAAAGCAATATGCTCTCTGACATAATAGGATATTTAATGGTGAAGGAAATTTCCAATTCTGAATTTCATCCTCAAGTGGAGGAAGAACCATCAAGTTCAGAATTAGTTCTGGAAGCTGCCACAATTATGGAAAAAGTGGTTAAGATAATTGATAACCTTAGGTCAAAGGAAAAGCCTTCATTCATAAAAAATGGTGTGTTAGATGCCACAATTTTAGAGGAAATGTTGGCCTTGTTCTTGGCCAAAATAGCCAAGTTGCCAACTACCTCAAACAAAGATGCTAAAAACTTATCAAAACCTGAGTTAAATAGAATTGCATCTCATTTGACAAAATCTGTGATAGATGAAATTGCCAGAAATAATATCAGTGTCATACCTGCTGATCCTGAAGAACAATTAAATTCAGAAAGTATAGAAATTATTTCTCAGGTTGTTGATTCTTTATATAATCATATACTACAACAGTGTGGAACACCTGAAGAACTCTATTATGATATAAAAAATACAAATTTCTTCCCTAATAAGGTGGCTTCTTTGATTATTAATAAAATTTTAAATTGCCCACAAGAAATATTTACCTCAAAAAATGTTTATGCCAATCTCTTTGGCAGTCTGGACATTGGTCGAATTATTGAAAAGACACATGAACGTGCTGTTAAAATGGATACTAGGCTAGAGAAAAAAGAGTCATATCAAGATTTACCTCAAGAGCAACTCCCAATTAAAATAATTCCTCACCATGGGAAAAAACCAATCAATATTGATCCACACATTGTCGCAGAACACTTAGGAGTCATTTCTATAAAAACACAATCTCTTGAAAAACTGCAAGTGAAGTGTTTAGCTAGAACTGGACATACCATAGAAGCCCTTAGAAGAGCATCAATAAGTGGGATAGGTCACTCCAAATACTCATCTATTGCAACAATGCAGAGGAAGGATACTCGGATCTCATTGGATAAGACTGGACGACTGAATGTAAAGCCATTAGAGGTAAGTACAAAAGGCAATGATGATAAGAAATGAGTGGCTACTGGCTAGGTTCCCTTTCTGTGACTCCTTTCCTTGGGTTGGTCTATGGAATGCATTGTAAGATATGGTCAGTTTTCTCTTGCCCAGTCCAGTAGAATGAAGTACTCCTGATTCATTCAGTAAAATCCTCTGCCTTGCTAGAACTTACTTTATCACTTCTATGGCTCAGTATAAAGGTATAAACCAGTTTTCACTCGCCAGTCAGACTGAACTATTATTTCTTGAGGAATGGGAATATAGTGAAGTGCCCTGGACAGCAACCAAACTGAGAGGAATTGTTCACATATGGCAATTCAGAAGAAATATAATCTTTAACAATTCTCATATCTCTTTTTATGGATATACATTGTCTTAGTCTTCATTTATAGGTAAGTAATTCCTTGTACACATATATGTGTAACTACACCATAGAACATTACCCTAAGTCAAAGCTTAATCATCTACAGAAATATCTGTCACAGTTCTTATTCTTGGCTACCTGTCCTCTAGGGGTGCAAAAGGGCCAGTTAGAATATCAGTTAAACCAGTCTTTACTTGACATTTAAATCCACAAACTTAATGATCCACACTAGTTCTGTTTTGACTTAGCAACTTAGTCATTGACAAATAATAGACTGCATACTTTTTTCTTTTTCTTTTTTCTTTTCTTTTTTATGGTATCAGAGATTGAATACAGGGTCATTTAACCAATGAGCCACATTCCCAGTTCTTCTTTATATTTTATTTTGAGACAGGGTCTTGCTAAACTGCTCAGGACATCACTAAATTGCTGAGGCTGGCTTTGAATTCACGATCTTCCTGCCTCAGTCCCTGGAGAGGCTGGGATGCAGGCACGCACCATGGTGACCAACTAGACTGCACACTCTTTTGATTTCACTGTTATTATTTCATTTCATAAGATTTTTCCCAGAGATGGACTTATATTGATCCATCCCCACATTTCATTTAATACCACGCCCCTTGCTATAAATGAGTCTCTAGCATTGATGATATGCTTTCATACTGGGGATGTAGCTTGTGACTTAAAAAACTGCTTTAAACAAAGTTCTAAAAAACCAGCCTGCCTGAAGCATAAGCCCTAGCATGTTTTTCTTAGCATTATTTTCCAAAACATTCAACTAAGTTTCAGAGCTATGGAGTACATTACTGGCTACTTTTTTTCAGTGCCAACTATAGAGATGATTAGGGGTTAGGACACTAATGGAATCTCCTTGTTCCTTAATTTCTTGGACCATATGAAGGTCCTTTTCTGCTCTAAAGTGTCCTTTTCTCTCTAGGTTCTCAAATTTATATTTGAATTTAATAGGTAGTATCATTTATAGGTAAGTAATTCCCTGTGCATGTATCTGTGTAACTAAACTGTAGAACTTACTCCAAGTTGATGCTTTATCATGTGCAGAAATATCTGTCACAGTTCTTATTCTTGCTTAGCTGTTCTCTTCACTTATATCCTTTACCAGTACTTCATCTCTTTATAGCCCAGAGAAAGTTGGAAGAGAATTTTTAATTGGAAGAGAATTTTTAATTCAAACCAACAACTCCTGCCACTATTCATGGAAGCAAATGGTATCTTAAGGAAAATAAACAGACACAGGCAGCTCAGCTACAACAGATGCTTTGCAGTGATCTGGATAGCAATCCCCCATCCATCCTCAGCATGGGGGAGGAGATTTAGGAAAGAATCATAGATGAGTTTAGGGAACTCAGATGAGTTGCAGGCTACTCTGCAGTTTGGAATCTACTATCAGGGCTTCATTTGCTGTTTTGATATACAACATTTGCTGACCCACCAGACACATGCACATTAAAGGCTCACACAGTGACAAATTCCAAAGCCATATAGAATGAATAATGCAATCTTTTGAACCACTGTTTCCCTCCATCAGCACAGATAATCAAAATTGATAATTGTTTCCATTTCTCACAGAAGTCCCTCTTTCATTTTGTTTTGCACAAAAGACATTCCTTTAGAGTAGCATTTATATGAAAAACTGGTCTGTAATGTTTTTTTAGATTTAAGATTGATAACGCAAATGAATTTAAAGGGTCTGTGGCATCATCAAAGGCTACTTAAATGGGGAAAGTCATTTATTTAATTATAACTGTCTTTTTCTTGAGCTGTCTTTAACATTGTAAAATGGAAAGTGACATTTGACTAGAGGGGGGAGGATCAATGAAGTTTTACACTTTGAAGCTTTTTTTGGAAAAGAGAGAAGAATGGTGAGGAATGAACATTCAAAGGCCTTCACAATCTTGTCTGTTATCCATCATTTTTAAAACTCCATGTCAGCCACTACCTTGTCTTTTTTTCATGAAAATATCTGTCTTTAGATTGCTCTACTAAGAAGTTCAAAAAAGTGTTATCATAACTATGATAACAAAACTTTCAAGACAAATGATCAAAACAGAATGTAATTAAAATACTTGTGTACTGGGACTGGGGTTGTAGCTCAGTGGTAGATCACTTGCCTAGCATGCGTGAGGCCCTGGGTTTGATCCTCAGCAACACATAAAAATAAATAAATAAAAATGAAGATATTGTATTCATCTACAACTAAAAAAAAATTTAAATTTTGTGTACTTTGCATTTATTGACAAGTATAAAGTAAACTTTGAAGCAAAAGAAAGAACATTAGTTAGGTTCTCTTCTTTAGACTAGAATAATATCTAAATGCAATACATATGTGGGGGTGGGAAGGTGGATATGCAAATATTGCTTAAGGTGTTCATTTATTTCTTCTTTTAAGTATATCACTAATATATAAGTAAATATCACTTGAATATAAACAATTTACTAAGTAGAAAATATAATAAAATTACCTTATTATAAATGAACCACAGGAAAAGTGATTGTGGCAATTGTTTTTAATATTCATTGTCTCTTCAATTCCAGACAGCGAGTAGGAATTCTTTTCAGAATCTGTTAAAACCTGATATCACTAAAGTGGAACTTTTAAAGGATGTCCAGAACAAAAAAGATCTTATCATCCGACTGGTAGCTCATGATATTGATAAAAGAGGGTCAGAAAACAAGGTAGAAGAAGGCTTAACTTCTGACGAAGATGAAGTTATTCTACAAGAAGTTGTTAAAGAAGCTTTTACAGAAGAACCAATTCAAGGCCCAGTAGAAGAAGACATAAAGCCCATTGCAAACCCAGTGACATCCCCTAAGCCACTATTGAGCAAAAGAAGTCTGAAAAAATTTCTATCATTTAGCAAATATCATCATCCCAATTCTAGAACATCTATAAAAAATATTGAAAGAATATCAACCCAGTGGAGAGAATCTAAGATGACAGAACCAAAAATAACTGTTTCTGAAGTTCGTGTCCCTACCTTGAAATCCTCAACTGACACAAATTCTTCTTATTGGGAGAGAAAGACACGATCTAGTGTAAGTGAGGAATATGACTAATATTAGTGCTGGGATTTTTTGGAGAAGGTAGAGAGTTTTACAAATGTGGTTCAAGCAATGTATCATGGGTAAGAAGGAAAAGGTACTAAACTGGATTTAGTGAGTCTCCACTACCTCTGATGATATTCACAGTGAATGGTAAATGATTAACAGACAAAGCTAGGAGCCTTAATTGAGGAAAAAAAAAAGATCATGGAGAGAGTCTAAGTTACATAGAAGCACAAGAAAAACAGAAATTGGGAATAAGTAAAGAGAAATGCAGGCTACTTATTTTAAATGATAGGTTTTATCATTTCTTGTGTGCTGGTTGGCAAATATTCATTATAAGTTTGGTACACAGAAACTAAATGCCAATGAACTTGATCAGAAGATAGGCTGAAGGAAGTGAAATGAGGCATGCAGATTCAGCCTCTCTGGGTTAGAATTCTGTTTCTGCCACTTACTAGCTGTGTGACCTTGGGGCAAGCTACTTAGCCAACTTTTTCCTTAAAACCTACTTTACCAACTTGTTGAAACACAGCAAGTTAGTCAAACTATGTTGAATATTCCTCCTGCAATCAGCCTGTGAGCCTGCAATCACTTTGACACAACTCCTGTCCCTGGTTCCTTATGTTAGTGATGGTCTGGTAGCCATTGACTTCTTGTGTTGGCCATACCCAAAAAGTCGTATCATACCATGTATTTTGAGACTGCATATGATTTAGGATTTCCTGGATTAACCCTGCAGTGAACCAGAGAAAACAGAGATACAACTCTGGTCACTCTGGTGAGCTGGCTCACCAAATCAGTCTGCTCTTTACTGGGTAGCTATTTGAGATTTCATGACCAAACACAAACACAGTGTGCCTTATCTAAAATGATGGCTATATAGAAAACTAAGGAAATGCTACAGTATACTTTGACTTGACTTATTATAAATGCTACTTTGTATAATACTCAACTGGTGCTTTTCCAGGTAGAAGAAATGAGATCTTCCACAGAACCAATACATTTTGCCATACATAGAATCATGAGTTCATCCTCATATAATGAAGATGATTTGCCTTCATATTCCAGGTACCCTCAGTTAAAGCAACATGAGTTGGTTAAGAAAATAGAAATCTGCAATAAATATTATGCTTAGGGGAAGAATGGGGCCCTTGAGTCAACCTATGAAGTAGTGTTTAGCCTCTCAATCTTCACCCCATCTCCCTTGTTTCCCTGCTCTGGTTACTTCCTGAATCTTCATATTTCATCTTCTCTCCCATTTCTATTTATCTGACTCTACTTCCTTCTCCTCAGACTTGATTTTCAGTATATAGTGGTCCAATTAGAGTTGTTAGATTAGGATTTTAATGTGTTAGGTTTTTGAGCCTGGGAGCCAGGCACTGGGTAAACAATAGTTCCTGTGCTAATGGCTTGCCCAGAGATTGTCCAGCTTAATTCCCTTAAGGTTCTAAATGCTCAACTAAATGTGGCATTGACTATCAAAGGAGTCTCAAGAATAAAGGAGAAGGTGTAAGTTGAAGTATTCCAAGAAGAAATCTCAAAAGTAATGGAGTTTGATTTTAGCATTTAAGGATGGATAAAATGTAATTAAAAAGACCATCCAAGTTGAGAAAGCCAGTAGAAGCAAAGGCTGGGCTAGGCAAAATTTACAGAGGACAGAGAGGATCAAAGTATACTGTACACTTGATGTCCGATTGATGCTATTTCCTAGAATGGCCAAAACATGTCTAAAATTGTTCTTATATTTATAAGAATTCACAAACTAGGAAGAGTAGCACTTTGTATCATGGGAGATAGTGGGTATAAGGAGAAAAACTGACCTGGTTGTACCTACATTCTTTTCTTCTTGGCACCATGAAATTAAGGTTTCTTTTTTACCTGATACCATTTTAGGACATTTACTCTTGACTCTCTCTTGACCCTATCTCCATTCATGATTTTTCAAAATATTTTTTAAAGAGAGAGGGAGAGTTTTTTAATATTTATTTTTTAGTTTTCGGTGGACACAACATGTTTATTTTATTTTTATGTGGTGCTGAGGATCAAACCCAGCACCGTGTGCATGCCAGGCAAGCGTGCTACCGCTTGAGCCACATCCCCAGCCCTCAAAATATTTTTTTAGTTGTAGATGGACACAATATCTTTATTTTCATTTTGTTTATATTTTTATGTGGTGCTGAGGATCAAACCAGGGCTTCACATGTGCGAAGCAAGCACTCTATCTCTGAGCTACAACCCCAGCCTATCATTCATGATTGTTTTAACATACAAGATTCGTGATGTAGGAACCTTCAATTGTTTGCATCAATGGAGAAGAGGAAGCTATATATTTAAGACCAAATAAAAGTCAATATAGCAATCATTTGCACATGATTTGAGAACCCAGAGACACAATCATTTCAGACTTGCTTCTATATGAATAATGACTTTGACATATGTTCTTTTGCTTAATTAGCATTCCTTCATGTATTAAATCATAGAAAATTAAATGTCTTTTACCTTTTATTTTTAGTAGTGATGATGATCGCCCCCCAGATCCAAGTGCCAAAATAACAGAAGGTTGGATTGATTTTTTTCCCTAATTTAAACTAGATGATATTTAAAAGGAGACTTTGTAAATTGCATTGATGAGTTTTCCTATTGTCAAACCTGAATTTAATCCTGGGTTTTCCAGTAGGTTGACCTACTTTGAAGGAGTACTAGGTCAGTTAATTAGTTCAC